ACTGCTAAATTAGGGACGTCTAGCGCATATAGCCCTCGTGTAGCTTTGCGCGAAATTCAAAACAAACAAACAATTAAAATAAGAAAAATTCGTTCGTAGAAGGTCAAATCAGTATTACTGGGACAAAATGATACATTAATATTACTATTTTAATACGTAAGTAGTCCTGTTTGTTTGATTGTTTGGTCTAAAGTAAAACCACATTGGGCTATCTTCTGCGTCCATCGCGGGAATCAAACCCTGGATTTTAGCTTTGTATGACAGTGCTGATGCTATATTGATGAAGTAGTCCCCCAGTGACACAGCGGCAAGTCTGTGGAGTCATAACACTAAACATAGGTTTCGATACCTGTGATGGGCAGAGCACAGATAGCCCATTGTGTAGCCTTGTGCTTAATTACAAACAACAATAAAAATTAATTTTAATAACTTAATTCCTTAAACTATTATTTATTGTTAAGTATTGAATATATTCGTATATTTTTATAATTCATAATAACTTGGAAAAAGGAACTTATTAAGGTATTGTATGTTATTTGTTTAAAGGACGTTTGCTTAAAAATGGTCGTTCTTTTTCATCTGACGTCATTTGTTTCCGAGAGCACCATTTGTGTATTTCTCTTATCAAATTCAAGAACAGTTGATTTTATCTAGAGCATGATTTGGTAAAAGAAAATTTATTTCTTCTCGTACTGCATCTAACCTAATTATTAATGACGAAAATGAGATAATCCAGAAACCAGCTGTCAGTAAAACATTTGCCAGTGGAAGTATTATGTTAAGATGTAATCAAATATTATTGTTTTTTTTATCGAATTTTCATCCTGTTACGTACCGTTAAATTCTGAAGAATTTTAGTCTTCTTCGTTGTTGTTTGTCAAGGATAAGTCTTTAAAATATTTTAGTCTTCTTTGTTGTTGTTTGTCAAGGATAAGTCTTTAAAAGATTTTAGACTTCTTTGTTGTTGTTTGTCAAGGATAAGTCTTTAAAAGATTTTAGTATTCTTTGTTGTTGTTTGTCAAGGATAAGTCTTTAAAAGATTTTAGTCTTCTTTGTTGTTGTTTGTCAAGGATAAGTCTTTAAAAGATTGTAGTCTTCTTTGTTATTGTTTGTCAAGGATAAGTCTTTAAAATATTTTAGTCTTCTTTGTTGTTGTTTGTCAAGGATAAGTCTTTAAAAATTAAAGTAAATTTCAGCAATTTCACAATTTTATCAAACTTAGCATTCTTGTTGTCTGTTTATAGCTAAGCACAAAACTACAGAGCGAACTATATGTACTCTGGCCACAACGGGTATCGAAACCCGATTTTTAGCGTTATAAACCTCTAGACTTACCGCTGAACCACTAGAAGGTTATATGTTGTTTATTTTATAAACTAATATAAAATACCCACTGCCCTTCTTCTTGATCCACGGAGGCCCCCAGTGTACCGATCTAGCTCCTCCATTATCCTCACTTACTTCTTTAGGTGCTCCAAGAAGATCTGTAAATATCCATTCGCCCCAGTGTACCAATCTAGCTCCTCCATTATCCTCACTTACTTCTTTAGGTGCCCCAAGAAGATCTGTAAATATCCATTCGCCCCAGTGTACCAATCTAGCTCCTCCATTATCCTCACTTACTTCTTTAGGTGCTCCAAGAAGATCTGTAAAATATCCATTCGCCCCGGTGTACCGATCTAGCTCCTCCATTATCCTCAGTTACTTCTTTAGTGCCCCAAAAAGATCTGTGAAATATCTATTCGCCCCAGTGTACCAATCTAGCTCTTCCATTATCCTCAGTTACTTCTTTAGTGCCCCAAGAAGACCTGTAAAATATTCATTCGCCCCAGTGTACCAATCTAGCTCTTCCATTATCCTCAGTTACTTCCATAGGTGCCCCAAAAAGATCTGTAAAATATCCATTCTTGGTACTCCGGTATGTTTAGTTGGTCCCACTAACTTGTGAGAGGGGTTATGAACTCAGTTCAAACATGGCACCTCCAGGATGCCGAAAGGAACCAGAAAAATAAAATCCAATGCTAGATTTGTTTTCGGTGACCCTTAAAACACACTCGTATTGTATTACTGGATGGTGTGTCGAGAGCGTTTCAGCCCCTTTTGTGGGGCTCGTGAGGGGGTAGGGCAGAAGCTACGCCATATAGATGACACTCATTTGGCCACCCCAGCCCAGCTAACCTTTTCCACAGTCATGGATTTGCCCAGCTAACCCTTTCCACAGTTATGGATCTGCCTAGCTAACCCTTTCCACAGTTATGGATCTGCCCAGCTAACCCTTTCCACTGTTATGGCAAGACCTGGCTGGCGGAACAGATACATTACTGTGGAAGGGGTTAGCTGGGCAAATGCATGACTGTGGAAAGGGTTAGCTGGGCACATATACATACAAAACTACAAGTTTTATATTTGTTAGATTATACACACACACACTTCTTTATATCATGGTTTAGATCAAACAGTACATTTATTGAATAATGAAGATTTTTTAATCCCTTCATCTTCCTTAAATTGAGTTCCCAATGGTAGAATAGAAAACTACTTTTACACTGGTGGTAGAATAGAAAACTACTTTTACACTGGTGGTAGAATAGAAAACTACTTTTACACTGATAGTAGAATATAAAACTACTTTTACACTGGTGATAGAATGGAAAACTACTTTTACACTGGTGGTAGAATATTAAACTACTTTTACACTGGAGGTAGAATATTAAACTACTTTTACACTGATAGTAGAATATAAAACTACTTTTACACTGGTGGTAGAATATTAAACTACTTTTACACTGATAGTAGAATATAAAACTACTTTTACACTGGTGGTAGAATAGAAAACTACTTTTACACTAGTGGTAGAATAGAAAACTACTTTTACACTGGTGGTAGAATATTAAACTACTTTTACACTGCAGGTAGAATATTAAACTACTTTTACACTGATAGTAGA